CACTCTAATGATAAGTGACATAAGGAAGTTGAAACCAAAAGTGTTATTTTGTTTCTCAAAGTCATAAACTGAGATGACTGTAGCTGCGTGTTTTTTTTAAGTAAATCTCGCATATGTTTTTAGAATGACTGCACTGGATCTCTTCTAAGACAAGATACTCCTTCTTTTGCTCTGTGGCATCCAAAGTTGCCATCACCTGGCTCACTTGAAATTATGCTTCTGCTCAGCCATTGTGCAGTTTAACTCAAGACCAAGCTCAACACAAGACCAAGTCATTTAAAACTTTATTTATTGTAAGCAAGGGAGAATAATTAAGGGGAAAAGATGTTAGCTAAGTGCTTTGAAATGTAGGACACACACTTTAAGGATTGCTAAATTAAAGGAAAATTTTAACCATTATTATTCCGTTAGTGCAATGTTCTTGACCAGCATATTTAATTCTCATAGATCAGGGCAGAATATATAAAAGGACTAAAATGTGAGACATTTTGTGACACCAGTGAAAATTCCTGTGTACTGAGAGTTAGCACCGAGGTTAGGTTTGGAATAGTTCTTGGTAGAGTTTATTAAGGTCGAGGTGCCACTGTATTTCATTTGAATCCTCCTGCCCACCCCTTGAATGGGGCCAACCTACTAAGAACCAGAGTTTGTCATTTTTGCCTCTCTGCAATGTGGTCCATCAAAATGGCATGAGGATTTTTTGCCCTTATATATTACATTGGCGAGGGAGGGTACAGAGTACACCAATGGAGAAAAGAGAAAGAAGATTTACAGGGACATTTTTTGTTCTTCATGCTTTATGTTTGTAAATTGAAAACAAAATCTATAAATGGCAAGTGCTTGGAGCTTAGGGACAGTCTTTACAATTATTCACATGACAATGCTGTAGATTGCCTATACTGTGAGTTGAGTTCCGTGTGGGTGTTGCAGTAAAACACAATTAAAATGTACCATTTCTGTGCCTATAAAGATTATATGGACTCATATTGTGTTGTCACACAGACTTACACCTGGAGTGTGGCAAAATGTGGTCCTTCAGAACTTGTTGCACTGTGCTTCTAAACATTTCATTTAGTTATGCTGGGTAGGTTTATGGAAACTGTGTTTGAACATGTTGGAGTTTTATGTTCAGGAAATCAGATTTCAAAAAGATCCTTTGAATGTCCTGAAGACTGATCACAAAAGAAAAGCAAGCTCATTTGCAAATTCTAGGAAACAAGAGTCATTCCTGCTGGGATACACATGGGATTTTCCTTTTCTGATAATGGGTTGTCTGCAATGTCTGTTTCTGTCATTAAACATGGTAATCACATCTAATAGCCATAAATAGAACTTGTCTTCCTTGGATCTTGTGACATATCAGCTGAAATCCACTAGTAAGTTGCAATTAGAATAAGCGTGTTGAATCAGTGCAAATTTGGTGAATCAACACCTATGCAAGCTTCACTGATTCAATTGGTCTACTCATCACTGGGTTTCAGTCATTGTGTATATTTCTGCTAAAGGGAAGGATAAGACTGCAATCTAGAAGGCCACATAAACTTGGACATTCAAAGGGGTTTCAAAAACAGTTTGCAGTGTGGGATTGTTCTTAAATTTATTCATTTAGTTAGCGAAAGGTAAGAGGAGATGGGTGTCAATAAATAAAATACAGTATTTAAAAATTATTATCACATCCCAGGGAATCCCTTTTCTGTCATCAGATATATTTAAACATTGGCCTTTATGGCCATGGTGCCCTTGTGTACCATCTCTGATCTGACCTGTTCAGGTATAGCAATTAGGAGTCACTCCTAGCAGATAGGGATTATTGATCCCCACCTTCTTCCATTAAACCCCAATGATGCTGAGGTTGCACATGTTTGCCCATGGCTAAATCTGTTAATTGCATCCAAGGAAATAATATGCCAGGCCTAGTAGGGCCAGCATTCAGTATCTAGTGTGGTAGGGGACGTCTAGTTCTGTAGAATGTTGCCTTTAGCCAATATGGCAGTTCTTTGGATCGGTAGTCTATGCCCATCTCCAGTGTTCTATTTGGGCCCTCTTCTCTCTTAGCTGTTCAGCTGTAGCAACCAGGAGTCAGTCCCAACAGTAGGGACAGTGAAGTTGCTGCTTCATGTGGCAGAAGCAATATAGTGACATTGAAAATTTTTATAAAAATTGTTTGTCTTGCTTTTAAGGACTAACTGAGAAATCGCCCACAGTTAAATCCACAGGCTTTGGCTGTAGGCAGTTTTTTGACTGGCCCTTTAAGAGAAGGAAAATAATTTTTTTAAAAAAAAATTATAACTGATGCAGCAAATCGGCAATCATCTATATACAGTAAAATATATATATTTCACTTCCTCTGCCCTCTGTCAAGCATGGGAAGTGATTAATTTGCCAACATCCTGAAGTGACTTACCTATTAATCCACTTCACAATACTGGCAGGAACCATTTCCGTGGGAACGGTCAGGCTTGATTAGATCTTTCTACGCAAGCTCTTCCAGTCATAGGCAGCATACACTAGCTTGCTCTGTGCTGCTAGTCTGACAAAAAGTATTCCTTTGAAAAAAGGAATATACGGATTGGGACATTTTTGTCTCACCTGTCTTATATTTGTAAAACAAAATAAAAATCGCATGTGTCAAGGAGCCATTTTTATAACATCATGGGACAATAGTGTAGAATGTCTACATTATAGATCTGTGGATTCTATAACAAGAGATGACTCTGGGGGACCAAGAGGGGAACTGATGGCGGGTGTGCCTTTCTGCCCACACCTCAGGCAGCAGAATGACTTGAGCTGGCTCAGTGAGGGAGGTTGAGGGATATTTATATTTTCTGTATGGCTTAATGCAGCGTATCTGTTGTCTTTTTTTCATGTTTTACCTATTTTACAACTTTGTGTGTACTGGTGCTCTATTCTGAGTACAGAAAACAGCATCCATTATTCTGGCATCTACTAACCACATTTCTTTCCCTCTGAAACTTTCTACTAAGCACTGAAGGGCTTTCTTGGATTTACATCTATTTTTTGCATCTGATAATCATATCACTGCTTAAACTGTTAGGCTTTTGGTTCAATAATTAGATCTTTTCTCATTTCCCATATTTCTAACAGGTGTTACATAAATAGACAATATAAAATAAATTGAGAATTCTGTTAGTATAGCCTTAGAATTTTATTTGATTACTTCATGAATTTTGATGGTTAATAAGTAATGCTAGGAGTTCTAATAAATTTTCCTTACCTTGCTAGAGTGAGAGACACTTGAACCTGACAGATGCAGTCCAAATTCTGTTGTGCAGGTACATTCCTTACAATAGTATTTGGACATCTCACTGCTGGTGCAATCTTGGATGTGATCAGTATATATACAGTGGTGCCTCGCATTATGAGCGCTCTGTTTTACGATGAAATTGCTTTACGTTCAAGGTTTTGTGATCGCAAGAGGATGTTTCCTATGGGGGAATTTCGCTTTGCGATGATCGGTTCCCTGCTTCAGGAACCGATTCTCGCAAAGTGATGATTTTCGACCAGCTGATCGGCGGTTTCAAAATGGCCGCCGGGTAAAAAACATGACTCCCCACTCTTTTCTGGGACGGATTCCTCGCTGCACAGGCAGCGAAAATGGCCATGCTATGGAGAATCTTCGCTGGACGGTGAGTTTCAGGCCCCTAGAAACGCATTAATTAGGTTTTAATTAGTTTCTATGGGCTTTTTAATTTCGCATTGCAACGTTTTTGTTCTACAGCGATTTCGCTGGAACGAATTAATGTCATAATGTGAGACACCACTGTATTGTTATTAGGTGCATCACAGTATTGTAGGACAAGTTACTTGTTTTGTATGTACTTGTGTTGCAGATTCCTGGGTTTTGCATTCAGTATGGCAAGTTGCCTCTTTATAGGATTAAGAGACTTCTAAGTACAATTTCATAACTTTGTACTTCCACTCAGTGTTAGGAATAATTTTGATCCTTTAATATGGCAAACAAATAGATCCATAATATGGAGATTAATTGGCACCAAGTTAGACATCATAGCAGTAGACCCAATGTAGGTTCTGCTGTAAATCCATATTAGAAAGTGGGAAGCTGGTCACAAGGGAAACATGGATGAGGCAAGAGGGAAGCTGATCCCTTACCCCTTTACTTCTAAAACAGTGTTCCCTCCTTAGGGTTTTTTTTTTTTTTTTAACCTAGAGAAGAGTTCCTTCTGCTTCTGGAGGTCTTCTGAAGGAAAAAGAAAACCTGTGTTGCAGCAGAGAGGATTCAGCTCCCATCTACCATCTGCCAGCACTATGCTGTCTTAACCCACCTTACCCCCCTCAGCTTCATAGGGGTTTAATGGCAGACAGAATCTGAAACACATGCCTTTGCAGCCTTTGCATGTAGTCTTGTGTGTTCCCCCCCCATCCCCCACTTGCTGGGACCAATTTAAAAGTCTTTCTCACCCATTTGTAGAGTGGTATGTTTTTGAAATTCATAGTTTCACTAAAGTTGCAAAATATTACAGAGATGATTCTTCTCCAATTTTTTAAAATGTCATTTTTTTTGCACTGGATTCTTCTTGTGCTAGAACAAAGCCTAATCTTTTAACTTCTGGGCCATTTTGTGTGTTGAGGTCTTGGTTTATAGAACGCTAACCACATGTGAAACCATACACAAGAGTGAAAAGTGCATGCCATTATCTAGAACAGGAAACAGAATGGCCCTGTGAATCTCTGTCAGGACGTGGCGGTTGCTTGCCTCTTTTTGCATTGTGCGTGAGTGAGATTTCTTATTGCACTGGAAGGAAGGGGTGGGGAAAACTGGGGTTCTCACACAGTTGTCCAAAACACTCCACGTGATCCTCCTGGAGTATGTGGGTTAATGTGATCCCACTGCAGGAGGCTGATGCACTGCTTTCCGTGATGATCACGGCAGCATTTTTCTCTCCTCTCCTCTCCTTTCCTCTCCTGTCTTTTTTTTTGCTTCTTGAAGTTGCAAATATGACTTTCAAGTGCTTCTACATATCTTTTGGTTCATGCAAGATACTATCAACAAGGAATCTCGCAGATGGCATACTTAGTGGTGGGCAAAATTTTGGCAAAAGTTTTCTTTGAACAATTCCTATCCACACAGAGATAACAATTATAAATTATTTGAAACATTCATTCAAAGATTCAACTCATTGTCTCACAGAAACATGATTTTTCTAGCATTGTTAGCCTCTCTGTTTGTTTACTGATAAAGCTAACAATTTTCCTGTTTTCATAACCATTTCCCTGTATTCCTCAGTCTTTTATACACTGCCTGTTGTATCCTTAAGCCTGACTGAAGGCCTTTCTCAGACTTCCTCGTGGCTCTCTTCATGTCCAAAGATCTCTTGCTTCTTCCATGGCTCTTTCCCTCAGCTTCCTATCTTTGTCAAACACTTCCTGTTGGGATCCCTGCAGCCCATGTTTCCAAATGTTTTGAATTGTTTGGCCACAGTAAGGCTTTTACCTCTGGGATAATATCTGCTGTCTGCTTTTGGATCTATGGACAACCTATGGCAGAAAAACAGTTAGCTTTTCTTCAATAATTTATTTCAGATGGACCCTAACAGAATGTCAGAAGAAGATACACACTGTTTGAGGGCCTTCCTGAGACTCCCGGGCAACATAGATCTGCAGGAAACAACTTTGGCAAACCAAGAAACAAGACTCATGTCTGAATCATGCAGAAGGATGAAACAAGCTTTCCAGGGAGCAATGCAAAAGGTCGGTTGTTTCCAGCAGTATATGAAAGTTTCATCTTGTTGAAGCTTTCAGTTTACTTCAGTGCAAATTGAATTACCATAATATATGGGTTCTGTTCTGGCAGATGCCTTGTACAGAATCAAGTCAATAAACTGTCACTAGAGGGGAGATTAATTTAATGAAAAGAGATTAATTGTATTCTCTTCTGAAAATGATTTCTCTGAGCTACTTGCTAGGCTTCTTTTCTCTCTCAGTTTTTCTTTCTTTTTTGGTGACTTAAATTGCACAGTATATCATGTGCGATTTAAGTCATCAGATGTTAGAGTTGGGTACAACAAAAACAATACAAAACAAAGCACTTATTATATCTTAAAACATGCAATTTTTTTTTAAAAAATACACAATTTAAAACATATAAAAAATTAAACCATTTAAAATAAAACACATATACTAAGAATTCAGCAACCTATTGAAGCCATAAATCCAAAAGGATGTAGGAAATAGCCATGTTTTAACTTTGTGCTAAAATGAAACCAGTCTTGATGTCAATTGAGCTTCCAGAGGGAGAGTATTGTGGGCCCAGGCGAGAAGAATCTCAGGACATCCCCATACCATCAATTGAGACCCACAGAGTGAGGACCTTGGAAGATTTATTGTTGCAAGATAGGAAGTGGATTTTCAAAGGGCTACTGTTTGGCTACAGTAGCATAGCACTGGCACAGCATAAGGAGCAGGGTGACTATCCTGTCATCATACCAGTACATTGCTGGGTAAGCATGGGGAGATACCCCTTGGCTTCCACTGTGGAGAACTCTGGCAGTCCTCACGAGCTGGGCCTACCCATCAATTCCACATCCCATACCCCCCCCATGGAGAGATGGATAGGGGATTCACCTTTCTGGGATAGGGCTGGATTCCTGTTCCCCCTCAATGCAGATCAGCTCCTATGAAGAGCCTCGTGGCACAGTGGTTAAACCGCTGTACTGCAGCCAAAACTGTGCTCACGACCTGGGGTTCAAATCCCAGGTAGCCGGCTCAAGGTTGACTCAGCCTTCTAGCCTTCCGAGGTCGGTAAAACGAGTATCCAGCTCGCTGGGGGGGGGGGCAATGTGTAGCCTGCATAATTAACTTGTAAACCGCCCAGAGAGTGCTTGAAGCACTATGGGGCGGTATATAAGCAGCACGCTTTGCTTTTTGCTTTTGCTATGTGTAAAATTGCCACTAAAGGTGGCTGGGGACCCTTTGCCCTTGCCTGCCTTCTACCAAACTAATGCTGCTGCGGCCACTCCAAAAGGCCTATCCTAAGAACCCACAACGACCTCCTGGCCAGCATCTGAAAGATGAACGCTGGCATCCCTGTAATGGTCAGGGCTTGAGTAAACAATGCCACCATCTCTCAGTGATGTGACCTGCTGCCTGTGTAACCTCCTGTCTCACCGAATCAACTTTTCCCACGCCACACATGTCTTTCCAGTATATCCAACCAAATCACATGCACAATCATGGCCACAAGAGCACTATATCCTCATCCATGGACCGTATCCAGTCAAAGTTCTTACGTGCCAGGAGGCCATTCTTACCCAGCTGAAGCAACAGTGCTTCTGGTTGTGGATAATACTGCAGGTATTCATGGTAGGCTTCAGTGACTCCCGGCACATCCCCCTGTGGCAAAACCATCTAATATGGATCCATACTGGAGACCCCAGTCTGTCCTAGATTTGGAGAAAGGGGCCGAAGCTGGATTTAAACCCACAACCAGACTGGTCTGGTAACTCCACTCATGGACAGCCCATGAAGAGAGTGGCCAGCAGCACCTGCCCTGGAACTTTTCTCCAGCACAAGGACACTTGGGAAGAAGGTGCCCAGGATGGAGGCCAGGTAATGGCATTCCTCCTCACCAGGCCACAAACAGCCCTCCCCAGTAAATGTTCACTGGGATGACCCTGGGTTCCATAGTTGAGGTGCTACAGCCAAGAAAACCCTCTTCTTTGTCTCCACATAATGTATGTTCTCAACGGTAGGACACAACCGCCATCAGAACTTTTAACTTGAAAAGGTGCAGCTGGACATGTTTCAGAGGGCACGAAGAAATGGCAGGAGAATGGCATGGAGGCACAAGAGGTGGCTCTACCTCCTGACATTGGACGGCTCCCAGCCCCAGAGTTGGCCCTGGGAAGTTCACACCAAATTATGGAACTGGCAATTTGTTCCCCCCCCCCGACCCCCAAAGTCCCATCCCTGCTTTTCATAACAGCAGGTACCGTACTTCTCTGCTAGCTTCCTTACTCCTATGTCTTCCAGAGAAACCCAAATGCAACAAGAAGGAAGTGCTGGTGAGTGAAAATTATATGAAGTCCTCTTCCCAAGCTTTTAGATTCTTCACACGTGGAAAGGGAAATATGCATTCCCAAGCATCTCATTAAACAAGCCCATTTGTGTAATGCAAAATCAGGGGTATGGAAGGTATTCTCTTGAAGCTAATCTTCTAGATGTTGCCTGTCCCCATTCTTCAAAAAGTGCATTGGGCCGAAACAGAAAGTGGATGGACACAACTTCCTACTCTCTCACATACAACTGCATGGAGACACAATACATGCCTACTTACTCACTCACACACCCATTATCACACATAACACACAACTGATAATTTGGTTCACATTTTAATGAAAATGTTCCTAATTCTAAACTAACATGCAGACCAAACACATGGTTATATTTCATTACTTTCATTTTTCTGAATTTTGTTTTACAATTTGTAAACAGCTGATAAGACAGTGGCATTGACTGGTTCCTTAGAGATTGAGCAGAACGTGTATCCAGAGATGTGAAGCCCCTCTGGAAAAAAAAGAATCCATTTCAAAAATTTACCTAAGTTGTCCAGTTTAGGAAATTAAATTTATTGTATTGCTTTTAAAACAGAAGATCTATCACTTCCAACTTAATGTAGGTTATACTCATTTATATTGGCTGGCAGAGTTTTTACAAATGACAGGAGCAGTCCTATGCAAATTTATTTATAAAAACATGCTATCTGTTTAGCAGAGCTTGTTTCCGCGTAAATATGCAATAGGGGCGCACTCTCAAAAATAGACATACCTTGGTTTGTAGGAGCCTAGTGGAGAGTATAACTAATAGGAGAGAAAAGGAGAACTTTGGCTTGCTGCACGCCTGTGTCCTAAGCATGCTTTTTACCCTCTGAGTAGTTAAGTGTTGAAAATAGAAACCACATACTTTGTAGCAAACAAAAAGAGCTGTAGTGTTTGGGCAGAAACACCCACAGTATTGATAGAGACTATATGAAAAGCCTAATGCATCCATAGGACCATTTTTTGGTATAATTTCTACCCTTTTAATGAGTCATTTTAGTTCATAAAAATATACAGGGTTTCACCTATTTTTTTTTAAACTGGAACAAAAATATTTCGACAAATGTATCCTCCTCCCCCCCCCAATATTAGGATACCTCACCTCTACCTCCAGAGAATATAATGTATAGGTATGGAGAGTGTCCCATGACTTTTGTTGGGGACGGGGCTCTGAGGTGACATATTCTAACTGGCAGTAGGTTGGCCCATTTGTGAGGGTGGCACTGAAGTGTCTCCTATTGGAGGGCGGGCTATTGGAACCCACTGGTATGAGCAGCTGACTACAGTACACAATGTTTGCGTGGCCTTCTCTTGATTTCAGCCTGATTGTATTTATTTATTTATTTTTATTTATTTATTTATTTAAAATATTTCTTATCCCATCTTTATCCTTAAAAGGTACCCAAGATGGATTATGTCATTAAAAGAAAAATTTTGCTTTATACAGTTGTAATCAAATTATTCAACCCCCATTGCAGATCAGGTTTATTGTCAAAATTTACAGACTTCCAGCTGTTTGCAATGAACAAATCAACAAAAGCAAATGAAATAGCTCAGGACAACAAGTGCTTCAAGTGGTTTCCTCAAATTCAACAGAAAATTCAGCTTTTAATAAATTCTGCAGTCTCAAATTTATTCAACACTTTCATGGCAAGCATCGTAAGTGCTTAAGTAGAGCACCTTTTTGTTGTTATAACCTGCTGCAAATGAGATGCATAGCCAGACCCCAGCTTCTGGCAGTATTCCTGAGGAACCTTAGCCCATTCCTCATGACCAGTGGCCTCCAGTTCAGTAATATTCTTGGGTTTGTGTGCTGCAACTGCCTTCTTCAAATCCCACCAGAGATTCTCTGTGGGGTTCAAGTCAGATGAGTGTGATGGCCACTGTAGAATCTTCCAGGACTTCTTCTGCAACCAAGTCTTGGTGGTATTTGAGAAATTCTCTGGATCATTGTCCTGTTGGAAGGTCCAAGGATGCCCAAGCTTCAGCTTCCTCACAGACAGCATGATGTTTTCTCCTAGGATTTCCTTATACTTCAGTGAATCCATCTTACCTTCTACATCCTGCAGGTTTCCGGTTCCAGAGGATGCAAAGCAGACCCAGAGCATTACCAAGCCACCACCATGCTTAACTGTAGGCAAAGTGTTCTTTACAGTGTATGCTTCATTCTTCTTCTTCCAGATGTACTGCTAATCCATTGGGCTGAAAAATTCCAGTTTTGTTTCACCGCTCCACAGAACAGAATTCCAAAATTTCTGTGGCTTATTTACATCATTTTAAACATATTGGAGCTGAACTTTCTTGTGCTCTTGGTACTGTAGTGGTGTACATCTTGGGAGTTCTGGCATGGAAACCTTCTGTGTTTCGTATGCACCTTACTGTGCAAACTGAAGCCTCAGTCCCTGTTGCCACCCAGTCTTGTTGCAGGGACTTTTGCATTCACTCAAGGAGTTTTTTTTCCTCAACTTGCATTCTCAGAAATCTGGTTGCAGCCGTTGATAGCTTACTTTTTCTGCCCCATCCAGGTAGTGTCAACCACTGTTCCTTTGACTTTGAACTTGGAAACTATGCTTCCAGTGGTGTCTCTAGGGATAGGGTTAGTGCCTTCGCTATCTTTTTTGTATCCTGTTCCTTGCTTCTGAAGGGTGATGATGA